TCCTTCGCTTTCTTTTCCTTTCTACTTGCATCGGTTGACTAAAAAAAAAAAAAAAAAAAAAAAAAAAAGGTCTTGAGCATACTTAAAGGAACGACAGATGATGGCTTATTTGAAGCTGGTTGTCGAGCACTTTTCTGGCGTATGATTGGTAGTTTATCCGTTGGTCCGGATGTCGAAGGTTGCAGTAAGGGCAGAGAAGGCATGGACGGTTGAATCGCTGGTGGTTCTTTGACAGGTAGCTCATCGGCAGGCGGTCGTTCTGTAAACGATGCGTTAACTTATCAAGTTTAGGATCATTCATGTACAAGGTTAGAGACGAATGCGTTGATGGAAATTCATAATCTGACATGTGTAGTAGACGAAGTTATCAATCTAATAATCTAAACCATCAAACAAGGACGAATAAAAAAAAAAGAACAACTCGACCAAAAATCTCAGAGTTTGTGTCGTGTTCATTATAATGTAACTGCTTGTCTCAGGGTTTATAGATTAAGATGTTTCCTAACCAGGTCGTCAGCGTATTTTCTTCCTTGCAGTTATCAATCTCGCTCATCACTCCCATAGCGATGAGTGTAAATAAATAAATAAATAAACGTGCTAGATGCGAGTGTTTTAACCTCCAACTACAATGTATGCTTCGTTGCTGCTATCTATCGCACCAACAGCTGTTATTGCCTGATGCTACCTAATCAGTGAATAGAAGTAATAATCTTCATGGGGGTGGAGGGAAGCGGGGAGGGGGGGGGGGGGGCAACGTGGGAAATGCTACCAACTCTATCTTGGTGTCCGAGGAGTTCAACAAGGACGCAGTCAAATTTTGCGCACACGCGGCGACTACATTACGATGTCGTATGCTTCAAGCTCTGTCTTTGATGTGCGGTTTAGCATACATCGCTTTGATTGGGCTCGATTGAAACCCACATGTTGAACGTACTTGGTGAAACCCCTGGTGGTCGTACACCACCGTCAGGTGGTCCCTCCGGTGTCTCTGTTGCAGTCGGTTGTGCAGGTAGCGCGGCCACGGGTGATCGTGGTGGCGGGGTCCGTGAAACAGATGTAGTGAGCGATGGTTCTGGTCTAGCTTCTGAATTTTTCTCGAGTGCTTCCGCAATAGACGTTCCTGCTGGAGGCGGGATACACTTCGTCAGTCACCTGTATTTGTATATTCATCTCGACACTATTAAACACCCAGTTTCTGTCCGCAACAATCTCGAGCAACATGACTGCAAAGCCCTACATAAACGTGGAATGTTTTAAGGAGTTGGCGTGTGATGATTTTCTATTGTGCTGCTAGTGAAGTTTTGATGAACATGTGGCAGTATCACATACTCGTCAACAGATGCCTGATCAACACGTGACTGAGTAGCAAAAAGGAGCAAAGTTTCAGATACATTGGGAGGAAGCTCCCAATATATGTGAAACTTTGTTATCGAGGCACGAGGGCCTCAATAATAAAGCGAAAAAGAAAGTGATGGCGAAGGGTGAAAATACAACCAAATATAAACCAAATTTGGGTTAGTTTGGTAATTGGATGTCGCTGTTCATCCCTGGGGACCCAGTGAAAGAAAGAGAGCGAGTGAGAGAAAAAGAAAGAGAGAGAGAAAGAGAGAGAGAGAGAGTAAAGGATACTGATTGTGCAGCTACGTTTTGTGTCCACTGGCGCAACCCTAATTCGATGCTTGATCTTAGTTTGTTTGTATTATTTTTCTTCATCTACGCTGGAGAGATGTTCCGGAACAGGGGCGTCGAACGTACTTGATGGGACGACTGTTGATGGACTGAAATCGACTGATGGTGACGCGGGCTGCAGAGGAACAGATGGTAGCTCGTCAGATGGTCGTGATGCCGGTGCTTGTAAAGCAGATGGAAGAGAAACGGACACTCCGGTGATTAGAGGTACCTTGACAGGTGGCTCATCAATACGTGGCTGTGCTGTAACAGTACAATATGTCACTTTTCGATTATCCTTATACAGACGTACACTTGACAGAGCTCATGGTATAACTTCGCACACCCTGACAGGAATATACCCTTTTCATAGATGCGGGACATCTTGTAGCTCGTGCGCCGATGTTCTGGGTCCTCCGTTGTTTGAGCGCGTACTCTGATCATGTATTGGACGCGAGTACTGCGTCAGCGTTGGGCGAGGATTCGGATCCAATCACACGCTTCGGGCCCCAAAAATGGCGACCGCCAATGTTGCTTGATGAGGTTTCGAAAAGAGTTGAGTAGGAACACGTATATTTGACTCTAGTAAAGTTCATTCCAATACATGGCGTCGAACTGCAAAGCTTCACGCGTATGGGTCATTGGGGTAGATGCCTAAGATAATAGCAGAGCTCCATTATAACGGTTGCCTAAATATCTGACCGAAATGCCTAGCGATATGGCTGCGACCTTGCAATCCACGAAGGTTCTCGTGCAGGCAACGCACAAGCCAGTTAATTGGTGAACTGAGAAAGCACTAGAGCTCTCATAAAAGAGGACAATATCTCGGAAGTGAAGGATAGGCAACTCAATTTGGCGCTGCGCAATAACGAAAAACAAATTAGGATGTTTCTGTTAATCGGAGGACGAAGTTCATCTTTAGGCTAGAAGTAGGCAGCCTATACGGCCTGCTGGTCGCATCAGGCGCACTCGGTTCGCAGTTGGTTTTGGCTCCTACATAAACTTGAAGAAACAAAAAATTGCGATGGGTTTTGGCATTGACAACTCATATTACACTCAATGAATCATTTATTTAAACGGTCAAACTGGCATACTCGAGATTGGAGTCTAAAATAATAGGTGAAGCTAACAAGGTGTCCTTAGCTCGGCTGAAGCAATATCTCGGAAATACCACGTAAACATTTATGTTGCTTGGAGACATTGCGCTGCATTCAATTAACACCGTTCTATAAATTTAGAGGATGATTCTGTGACCGGTATAAACCAAAATAAATTTGTTTCTTATTCGAACTCTCATAGATGTAAAGAACTCTACAACTTTGTCAACAGGCTTTCTTGTGAGTCATGAGCTATACCGAATACGCAAATAAAATATTAAATCGTGGGGATTCGTGAGTTCTACTCATCCTTCACTTCCCCCATAAATCATCATCTGGGAGAATCGGTTACACTCACGTAATGAATATAAAAAAGGTCTCCCCGGCTTCATTTACTAATCGTTCTCGGCACTTTAGATAACAATTAAAGAGTTGTGTTTACTCGAAAAAGGACAATATCGAAGGTATTGTCTTATACAACACCTTCGATATTGATGATATTGTCGAAAAATTTAACATCGAAGGTTCGCATCCCAGCACCCTAACTGTTCGGTGTTGATGTTTTTGATCAAACTTCATCACGATATTTGTCCTAATAAGTATATCCTCTCTCTTTCTTTAAGACACTAAGAGGCAGGGCTGGGCTGAAATACTCCAACAAGTATACCGGAATACAAATAGTGCTATACATGTATTTCAAAGCCGCAACGCAGATACTGAGATACATTTGTCTTTTATGCAACAGGGTATCCCTGAGATAATTTTGGAGAAACTGACATAAAGCATCCCGGAATACAAATACAAATACATCCAGAGATAAATTGTTTCTTGAACGGCGCTTGGGTGCGGAGGAATGCAGCTTGCGGCGAATCTAAATGGTGGTGCTTCTGCTCCTCTCTTTGCGTCAGCTGATGCACCTCCTCTTACCTCGAACTCTTCATTTATCCACAAATATCATCTCGAATGCCAAAAGAAAAAACAACATTATGACCCCCACTGGAACTTACAGGTAATAAAAGCAGGCGATAGCTTTTCGTCCTTGACAAAAAGGAGTTTGCCCAAAGTGAACCGTGTTTTGCCGGAAGGGTGTGTGTCTTATACCGTCGTACTCACTGCTTCTGAGTCACACAGGCTATGAAGATTGAAGAAGGAGGTAAGGCCTGTCTGCACTCAATGCCACTCACCCTTGGCCGCATGGAACTTGTTGCAACATAAGCGGAGGAGAAGCCACGTCAACAAGTTCTTTACTGACTTACCTTTAAAACCCCAAGGCAATAGTAAAAAAAAATGTGTTCCTTGTCTCTAGGTTTTATAAGTATGACCGTTCACTAGTTAGCCTGCGCCATTATCCTTATTACAAGTTTTGTTTTACTGTGTATGACTGGTAGTTTTCTGCACGGCACTCACATTCTTTCAAGCGTTTCACTCCGTGAACAATTGACCTTTCCTCGCACCACTCTAGTTTTTTTTTTTTTAAGCTTTGGTGACCGTTTGCAATATGCAAGCTGCAACCAGGATTATCCCCATAGTGGAGTGTATCTGGAGGGTTCCTATTATAAAGTTTGCGATCCCTTGCGCCGAAAACGTAATTTTCGGTTAGTGATATAAACCTGAGTTAATTTTTGACAGAAAAATAATAAAAAAAAAAGTGTGACAAAGTATCCCGATACAAGTGATATAATATTGTAAATGTATTTCACTAGTGAGATACCGATTTATTTTTCAAATGTATCTCGATACGGAAATACAGATAGTCGAAAGTGTATATGATACACTATTTCTAAACATTTGTATCGTGATACTGCCCAGCTCTGCTACAAGGCAGTGGGGCATGCATGATGCAGTCATAAGTTACATCTAACTTTGTTTCTTTTTTATTTTATTCATTTCACTTAATCACATTTGTCACACGAATGTACTACAGCTTCAGACAACTCCAGCGCGTGGCTGTGATGAACACAGTCTTATATAACGGGCACCAGACCACGCCACAGGCTGTGCTGGCTGCGGTACTCGATTTTTTTAATTTTCTTAATGACAAGAAATAATGCACGTTCTGTATTATTAATATAAGAAATTCTTGCTAAACACTATTCAGCGAAAGCAGGACATTTTTCCACAGGTTCATTTGAAGTATATTCGACAAAGCTGAATAGGTAGTTGATCTAAAACCCTCGAGTGAGTCGCTCAGGCGCATGTTGCGTCTTCAATTTCCACCCCTTCAAGCTATCTTACCTTTTTCAGTCACTGATCCTGTCGTTGGAGGATTGCCGTCTGTCGGGAAAGGAACGCAGGAGCCGCCTTGGCACGTTCCTCCGCGTCGAAGAAACAGCGTCTGCGAGAAAGCCGTGACCACTACGTGAGCCATTTCGTTTTGGTAACACAAGGTTTTCCTCCCTCAGTTGTTCACTTAAATCTACTCTTCTTGGCTAACTGAAAAATGCAGAAACGAAAAGAAATAATGTCCAGTGCGGAAAGCACATCCCGAGTGCGTAAGAGATATTCGTCGTTTTTTTCCGAACGTCGCGAATAAGTACTTGAGTTTAGATAAAGAGATGTCGCAATACAATCCTAAAGCTAAAATTTTTAACACGTTTTGTCATTAGGAAAGAAGTGCTCAGATTTTTGCGCCAGCGATGCACACAAGCACGCCATATTTTCTCAAGTATTCGTATACGTATTTCCGTATCACCAGGCGAGTCCGTTGGGGGCAAAAACAAAATCAACAACAATAACAAAACAACAACAACAGACGGCGCATTTATTGAATTGAAAAGCACATTCGGAGCTCTGAGTGTTTCTTTACGTATCCGCCAGATTCCGACTTGTATAACGCTGAAAAGTTTGAGTAGCTTAGTTTATGAGCAGATTGAGGATAACCAAATTATGAATGCCTTGTAATTCGCTTAGAGTATATTTCACTGATATCATCGACTGACTCATCACGCGCTCTAGACACAAAGAAGACGCGTCCGACCTTTCCACAGTGATTGGTTCTTCATATTAGGCGAGGGCAGGGTACAAACGAACACCTTACCTTGCACATGGCACCGTCCCGTTCCTTCTCCAGTATAATGGAAGGCATCTCCACGAAGCTTATCTTTATGCATAAGAAGCGGCAGGGGATGATCTTACCGCTCTGGAAAAAACAACAACAAAAAGTACGTTTGACAGCTCGAATTAAAAAAAAAATAAAAACCTGTTGCACAACCCCTCAAACTAAAAAAAAAAAAAAAAGAAAAACGGTTTTTATATTGCGTTAAAGCAAAACGCTTAAAAAAGTTCTAATAATGAACATCAGTAATGCCGTGAATCGTCGTCAGTTACTTATCAAGAGGGGGGTTACCAATAGCAGACACAGTTTCTTTCAACAAGGGGAATACTCGGAAAGGGCACTCCTCCTGCCAGCTTGGGAAATATCCGATGTCAAGATGAGGGCTGGGTCACAAATAAGCACGAGTTTCTTAGCCTGTCTTAAACAGATGCCATTTTGAATACCGTATTTTTGCTTCCATTTTCTTTTTCGTTTATTAAAACAAGCAGGAAAGTCAATATGAAATGTGGGAAAGAAGATATGAAAGGCATAGGGAAGTGACTCGCTCATCAGTGGGAATCTGCGCAATCTTTTTTTTGTCTAGATCTTTGGGTACAAGAACGAATTTTAAAACTGAATCTTATGCAACGAAACGGCTTCGTGTGCGCTATCCTTCGTTTACCTTTAAAGGAACACTGACAGGATATTTATGCTCAGCAAGGTTTTTATTTGTACATAACATACGAGAGCCCGACCGCCCAGAGCACAATTTGCGACTCGAAATTCGTTTTCTTTCCGCCCGAAAACTGCCGATCGAGAGCTGGCCGGTTTGAGTCGCTCTCACTCTGTTCACAGTGGTCATGCTGTGTTAGACACATACACCAAAAATAATCTAAGTAGTGGGTCATCGAAGGCACACACTCAGTATTAAAAATAGAACAAAATAAGAAACCCATTTTTTTTTTTGCTTCTAAAAAGCTGCAATTACGTTGAGGAAAAACAAACAAAACAAACAAACAAACAAACAACGTTGCAGAAGTAAGTAGCAGATTTGCTCGGCCCATGCAGGCTTGGGCCAGACTGGCGCGAGATAGAGCCAACTTGGCTCGAGCCTGTTACAAGCTTGCATCAAACTGGCCCAAGTATGAGCCGGGGAAGTGTGCTGCTAGGGTGAGTACCGAAAGCACATGCACTGCGTGATTCTCAACATGCGTCTCAAGCCAAAAACTCAGAAACAATCAGTTTTAACGTTTCGGGGTCGACTTGACTCCTTCAGGGGGTGAGTAAATGGAATTGGACAGCGAGAGCTTCGACCTCTTCTTCCTCTTCTACCGAGTTGATGTTATGTTGAAGTGACACAGGCCCTGGACGTAAAGAGATGGTAAGTCGGTGGATGGATCTGTTAATGTTCCCCGGTGTATTCTGAATGTGCCGCGACTCCAAGAACAGACGTTTTCAGATATGTGGTTCAGTGTCTATCACGTGGGCGTTCGTGAAGTCGATCCGATGATCAAGTACCTGACAATGTTCGGCGACGGCGCTACGCTCGCTATCGAAATTGCGCACATCGATCTGGTGGTGGCGCATGCGTTCGGAAAAATATATAGTTTCGCCGGCCGATGTAGGCGGGGGCACTCTGCATACGGTATCTTGTAAACCACTCGTAGTGTTTTTTCTTTTGGGAGGCGATTCTTCGGCCTTGGCATAAGCTGTCCTCATGTTGACACTGGCTTGTGCGCCACTTGGATCCCTTCTTTTCGGAGCACACGCGCTAGTGCCACGTTGGTCCCTTTTACATAGGGGACGCTGATGCGCGCGATGGGGCGGTGTTGTGCGTCACCCGGCGACCCATGGTTATGGCGCGTGCAACACTGTCGACGGGCGACGCGCTGAACAAAACTCCTTGTGTAGCCGTTTCATTGGAGGTCAGCAAGGATGGTCTGTTTCTCCTTTTATCTATACTTTTCTGATGAACAGATTGTCATTGCTCTAGTCTAGACAAGAGAGTAGAGACCAGTGACGCCTTGTGACTCACTGGGTGGTTCGAGTCAAGATCAAGGTTTACTTCAACAATTCAGAATCTTTTATCTGATCTCACAGTTGTAGCAGATTTGACCCCAAGGTTATTCTAAAAAGGGGTCACGGCGAGGAAGCAAACTGCTTACACTTTATGAGTACACGTTGCAGACTTGCGAATGTACAAAATCGATAGAATAAAGCAAGAGGACATCTCTGCCGGTTGAGAAGCTTTATAGCTAGTACTTTTGGAACTCTGAACTAATTCTTCGTGCATTAATGCATATGGCTTTTGTAGCGTTTTGGGAGAACTTACAATGGACGTAGGAGCCAGCCGTGGACAGGTAAACGCCAGTGTTGTCTGGAGGAAGGCCCAAAACGCTGCGGAAAAGCAAGACTCGTGGGCTTACAAACTGCTGCGCTGTTTTATACACTAAAAATGTACTTCATGCACTATAGCGTCAGGGCCGCTTAAGTTATTTACGGGCCTCAGAAAAAAAAAAGAATTGCTTCTTTTTTTTTTTTGTGTTTTAGCTTATAAACAATATGAATTAATAATGCGTTCGGTGTGATCAATAAAACATAGCTAACAGATAACATATCGAAAATGTTTGCATACCATTGTTATGTGGACCTTTGGTGTTATTTGGCGCCATTGCAACAATTATCAAGCGTTTTTGTTTTTACTTCTACACCCACGACTACTACTACTAATATTAACACTACTACTACTATTACTTAATTACTAAGAGTAGTATATCGACTTTAGTTAGACAATATAGCGCTTGGGTTGCGCCGATATTTTGATCGCAGAGAGTTTACTCTTAGTTGTGTACTAACCCACTGAAGTCATCGCGCTTCAAATTCCATGGTGGCAAGACAGACAATGCTTGAGACGCTACATGCCAGCCATCAAGGTACTGCAGCTAGGAGGACACCAGAAAAAGTTTTGGTACCCCTAGCTTGATCCAAAACCTCTCGCATGCTACAAGCAAAGTTTAAATGTGCACAGCCTGACTGGAGGGGAAATACGTTCGAGATTGCATGTCGTGCGGGGCAGGGCGTAGCCAGGTGTGGGGGAGGGGCGGGGGAGGGGGGTGGAAGCGACGACCCATAAGCCTTATGGGTGCTTCAAACCTACCCCCGGATATATAGTTGACCCTTCTAGCGTGTTCTGTTGATGCGCAGTAGCTTTTATTCGCAAAATTTCATACGCCGTGCATGCGTCCACAGCCCAGGTTCAGGGCGCACTTCGTCTGGCTGGTAAGCATCAGAGGTTATTATGTGCTGTGCGTGTACTGGCAACAAAGCAAACGCATGGGACCTGCCTATAAATTGCTAACCCTTGTGCGATTTTCTAGCTCACATGGGACCCCGGTCATCAAAATGTGATCACTACATTGTAAGCCTTCCAAAACGGAGCAGGTTGCTTCAATTTGACCGGAGACTGTACTGTCAGTGTATACCTAACATGAAGCATTACCTGATTCGCCTTCTCGCCGTAAAAATACACGTCTGTGTTCATTCCACAAGGGTGAACACTCACACATTCGTCATCTCATTTGTAACTCGAGCATCATATGACTGGAAGCACCTTCCCGCTTCCATTGATGAAGTTAGTATCGCTGTTATTTTTAAACAAACACTAAAACTGCAGCATTATAAGTTGATTGAATTGACATATTTTTTCGGGTGTTCACTCTCATCTGTAAGGTACATTGTACCTTGAAGGCAAATAAATTAATAAATGCACTGCCTTACACAGTTCGTGCAAACGTGATGCTGGCGATTTTTCGCATTCTATCACATTGGTGCCGAACGCCAACTCTTAAAAGATGCTATGTAGGTAGGCTTAACCAACCACAACTTTCTAAGTGCGCCTGAAAAGAAAAACAAAAATATAATTTATATCGTCAATCAAGTGTTCGTGCTAACTATGTCGCGATCTGAACACGCAAAATTTAAAATCAAGATTGGAAGAAAAATTGATGACTTTGGAAGTGGTTTCAATTTGTGATTGAATGCAGATTTCCAGCACTTACCCATCATCCTGATCAGGATGAATGCCTTGGTCCGAAACTGACCCATAACAAACGTTATGTATTTTTATCTTTCGTGATAATCGGGTTAACCGTGGAATATTCAGGGCGACCTCAATCCACGAGTTTCGTATTGTCTCGGATGAAGAGATGGCTGCGCAGAATAAGCAGCAGTGCATATACATAGCTTTTTATTTGGTTCGCTCGAAAAGCTTTTGTCATTAAAGCTAACATATTAGCCATTGTTTATGGCCATCGCTGTTTGTGCAGCAGCTGCGAGCTGTGTTATCCTGTGTCGTCGGTATGTTTCCCTTTCTTCTGGTATTTTCTTGTGGCTCATTGGAGGAGACGGTGATAGAGGTTGGCGCGAAACTGCACTAACTAGAGAGACGATATTTATTTGCAAGCTCTCTGTTGAATAATGTAAAGAATAAATCAAAAATGTTGGTTTAATTTGACTGCCAGATTAGATAATAAACATACCAAATGCGACTCAGTTAAAACGAATATGCGAGATCCGTTTTTTTTTTTTTTTCATTTTCTTCTCACGGTTGAAAGGCTGCCAATAAATCCGCTTCTATAGCATAAAATTCGCATATAAGACCCCCACTTTGGTGGTAAAGATAGGCCTATGCCACTATCCTACATGAGCTAAATATGGAATAGTGCCGAAGCTGTAAGTTCGCCCTAGATATACTAGCCTTGTGCAATATAGGCACAAAAACTTGAAAGAATTTAACAATGAGGACGAGAGCGGAAATCTTTTAAAGAAGCCCTTGTTTCCGTCCTCGTACTTGATGTTTTTTGCTTTCAAGTTTTCGTATCAATTTAACAACACGCTCGTTTTCAACTATTACTGTGCAATATGGGGATATGACTGCTGTTTTTTACATACTAAAACATATCAAAAGGAGACCTTATAAAGTAACTGTAGTCCGTTGCAGCTCAAGAAGGTAGGGCGAGGGTAAGGATGGCCGGGGAGGAGGAAGCAGACGGAATGCTAAAGAGAGAAGGAGGCTTCCTCCTCTCTTCTCCAGCGTTCCGTCTGCTTCCTCCTCCCTGGCCTGTCTTACCCTCGCTCTACCTTCTTGAGTTGCAACGGGCTACCGGAAAACCCTTAAAGGGACACTCAAGCGGTTTTTGGAGAAGCTACTTTTTGGTGCGATGGTGTTAAGGAAGTGTCAGTGAATGAGTATCTTCAGTTTTAGAAGGCAGAAACGCCTATTAATCACGCAGGAATAAAATACGTGCGGACTCTTTTCTGTACTTGCGAGGACCAATGAAATTATCGTATGTTTAAAAATTTTGGCGGTCTTTTTAAAGTTTCGCTAAAAAAACAATTTTCAGTTCATTTAAATATGTTGTGCGTGATAATTTCACAAGACGTAAAATATTTCTAGTTTAGAATACGCGATAGCGCAATTATCGTTTCAAAAACAAGGGACTACGTTTTCTATTTGTTTTCTTCCGCGGGGGGTGAATTTCCCGTTCCGCAGGGATGCGCGGAAGCGCACGTATCTCCGCGCGTTGCAGGTCGGTCGGTCGTGCCGGTCGCGGGCCGGCCGGTTCCTTCTATCCGCAAACGTGGCGTCGGTGGTGATCGTCGGAATGGACGGCCCGGTGAAAGCTCATCGTTCCGCGTAAAAGTGCTATCCTTGACTGTGAATTTTCGTCGTGTTTCGCTATGATAACCCAGCACGTACTAGAAGGGAACATCCACCTACTCGTGCGGCGATGTCGTGGCGGCACTCTCAAGACGGCAGAAACGCCCGTGCCGTCGTGTTTTACTTCGACTACAGTGGTGCTTTCTAAGCGTTTGTGTCCTCGAACATCGCCCGGATTTCTGATTTGGCGCATTTCATGCGTGTGCTCAAGTTCAAGGTATTACTGGCGCGTACCGTATAAAGGATACGAATTTTCACGCGTTTTCATCACCGGAGAAAAGTGATTAGTGTTAGCAATCCTGAACGCTCGCAACGTCTATCTGATCACGAAATCATATTTCTACGTTGCTATATCGCTGCTAAGATTACATTGTCTTTTATAATCGTAGAAAAGGCGTGTGGCGATATTTGTACTATTGCAATGTCGTGTAGTAGAGTCGTGATCGTCCAAGACGGCGCTGCATCTTTTTATTTTATTTTTTTCATCCGCTGTACCCTGCAAGCCTATCAAGAAAAAATAATAAAGCTTTAGACTAGAAAACTGTCTGTCTATATTCTGTTACGGCATTGAGTAGCAGTGCGTCCCCTTTTTTAGAGGGGCCGCTGACACAGTTGACGGCGGCGTACAGAAGCGGTCGCCGTGCTGACGACCCGCTGCGCTTGTTGTAGTGGTTACAGGTGTGTGTACGCGCGGCGCAGTGCGGTCGATCCGGTCGCTCCGGTTGCAACGGACGCAGTCGTAAGTACGCGCTCGTTGCACATGTCTGAACCAGCCTTCCCCCCGTTCTCCCGAGGCGAAAGTCAACGTGGCGACATCGTTTGACATCACGCACCAGAGGTAACGCTGCGATGTCAAACGTTGGTTTGGTTACGACTTGCCCCAACCGCAAATCGAAGAACGCCCGAAAAGGTCTGCGTTTCGTCGTCCTCGGAACCCGAACATGACTCCGAAGCGCTGCTATCGTCCACATCGCACGTCGGAGTGGCGTCATAGGAAATCATCCCCAGGTCGGCTGTCCGCCGAAGAGCTTCAACCTCTAACGGCGTCAGGTCCTCGAGCGTGGAGAACTCCGCCATGATCGAAGCTCGAATGACAAAGAGGTTCGGCCGATGCGGCTACCTCGGGACGTGCCTCGGGATCACTGCGCGACGGAACGTCGTCCAACGCCATTGGCCCGAGATCCTTTTGATAAGCGTGCGACGACCAATGAGAGTGGTTTCGTTTTCGGATGGATCCGAGGTTTGGCGGCCTTCAATTACATTTTTATTAAAGAAATAATCACCGTATGACTATACTTTTTGGTTTTTAGGGATACTTAAGGCGTCTAAATTCAGCTGTCATTATCAAAACACGAACTCAAAAACCACTTGACTGCCCCTTTAATATTCGCGAGACCTTAATTTTCGCGAATTTCGCGAAATTTAAGGGCACGCGAAAATTTCAGTAATTGAGAGTTTTGGGTTCCGGAAAAAAATGTCCCCGAAAAAAAAACGTCCCCAGAAAGTATGTCCCCGGAAGAAGAGTCCCCAAAAAATATGTCCATGAAAAAAAAAAAAAAAAAAAAAAGGCGCCAGGTGGAAAGTTGGAAAAAATGTCCCCAAAAGGTTGTCTGTTGCTGGGTTTTCCTTGATTCTCATGGCCTTTGAGCGGTCCTGTCATTGTCCGGTCACAAATGGC